CGGCCCAGGTGTGCGGGAGCTCAGAGGGCTTCTGATCCGGAGTGCGGGGCTGCAAAGGGATGGAGGGGGGCTGCTCAGAGCAAAGGAGGGGGAGGGGGTGTGGGCCCTCCCCACGCAGAGGCCCTCAGAGCTGGGTGTGAGGTGCAGAGGCAGAGGGGAGCTGCGGGAGGAGGCAGGCCCGCGCAGGGCGCCTTGTCGGGGGCTGGAGTTTGCTTCCTAAGGTGGCGGAGCCCTGGAGGACTGGCGAAGCGGCCTGACATGGTAGCGTTTGGATGCCCCGAGCCCAGCATGGCTGCCTTAGTGGTTGCTGGGGCAGCCGAGAGGGTGAGCCTCATCGAGCACACCCCTCCCACAGGGGGCAAGTCCACAGAGGGCTTGTGGGTTCCCAGACCAAACTGGGGACCTACTGCAGTGTCCGCGGGACAGTGGCTCTGGGGCCACCCTGTGGACCGGCACGAGTCTCCTGAAGCCACTTGCCCGAGTGTGTGGGCTTGGGGAATGACGTCTTCTGCATTTGGGGTCTGAAGGATCTTCGGCAGAAACCCCGGCCCCGTCAGGAGCAGCCCAGGGCCTCCAGCGCCTGAGGATGCTCTCCGGCCCACCTGCTCCCCTCCTGCCCCTCAAGCCTCCTCACTCGTGGTCGCTGCTCAGAAGGGGGGGAGGCAACAGAGGGTGCGCCCGCAGTGGGGCCCCGCCTGTGGCCGGTCCTCCTGAACATTGGGATTCTTTCCTCCATTTGCTGGTGGTGTTCCCAGCCCTTCCCTTCGGACGGGCGACCCCTCGCTCAGTGTTCCCTGCATGCTCAGCAGGACTGAGGGCTCCCCTCCTTTCGTTGTCTTTAGCCAGAAGTGGACTTCCACGTCCCGGGCAGAGCCAGGAGCCAGGAGTCGGTGCAGAGCGCGCCGAGGGAGCCCGCCAGCACGCCGCAGGCGCTGACCAGCACGCTGGAGCACATCGTGGGCCAGCTGGACGTCCTCACGCAGGTAGGCCACGCCGCCACCTCGTCCGCACTCGGCCGCAGTCAAGGTGGGGAGCCCCGGCTCTGGTTCCAACTGGCACTGCCCTTATCCTCGGAGCCACCTGGTGTGTGTCTGTGAGGGGCGTGGTCGTGGGCTCTGCCTCCCGTGTTCGTGATGAGCGTTGAAGGAGGTGTTGGCCTGTGCCTGGCCCTGGTGCGCTGTGGCACTGACCACCCTCATCACAGGACAGACGCGGGCCGGCCCTGTGGAGCGTGCGTGGGTCGTTCCACGCTGGTGGGGCCTGTAGGGCAGTAGCTTCAGTGCAGGGCCCTGACGAGGTGGCGGCCAGCAGTG